GGGGGGGGGCTCCCGCACCTGGGTGCCAACGGACCCCTCCGGTTGCAGGTGCCTTCTGCATTCCCCTGTACGTGCCCTATGTGCTGACGGGGAGATGGATCTTCGGGAGAAGCCTCTGCAAACTCTGGCTGGTAGTTGATTACCTGCTCTGCACCTCTTCGGTCTTCAACATCGTCCTGATTAGCTATGACAGATTCCTCTCGGTGACAAGAGCGGTGAGTCCTGTCATGGCAGCTGAGAGGGGCATAACCCTCCTCCTGCTTTATTCTCCAGATTCTCCGCAATAATTAAAAGCTCTTTGAATCCTCCAGAAATTATGAATCTTTCAGCCTGGTGATGGAAAGCAATAATTATCCACAAATACATAGTTCAGCTGTGGTTTTAGATTAGTATTTCTGGCATAATTAAATCATTTAAGGTTCAGACCCCGTTGTGCAGGTGTTCCCTTCCCAGATGACGGGACAGTAGCGTACAAGTGAGTCAGCGAGGTAAGCAGACCTATTACTAACTTGCAGGGACTTCTTAACCCCGGGACAAACAAGCGAATTGCAGTGGGACTCCCAGCTTCTCCCTGGCTGCCACGGCAGGAGATTGCAGTGCCAGCTTCGGCAGGGCACTGCCCGGAGCTCTCTGGGTACACGGTGAGCTGGAAATGCTCAGCCTTTTGCAGGAGGTAATGAGCAACCTGCAGGCAGATGAGATCCGTTGCTGTTTGCTTGTTCCTCAACTCCAGATACACCGTGGATTAGCTATGAGGCTCAGAGAGGGGCAGAGTTGGGTGCCTGCCTAGCGCGGGAGTTTGATGCATGCCTCTGCCCGGAGTTGCAGAGAGCGGCTGGGGACAACGCAGCGAGTGGTGGGGTGCAGCAAACTGCCGGGCTGCGAGCAACTCAGGACATTTTCACCAAGCAGAAGCCACATCTGGTTTTGGAGCTGCAAGATGAGGGGTCTAAGTCTTCCCTGCAGGAGTGTGATTTATCCAGCAATTGCTCCTGTTGCCTATGGCATGTCAATTTGTTACCCTGCTGGGATATTGCCTAGCAACTTTACCAGGAACGCTAACAGTTCATTTGTGAAGAGCCTCAACCAGTTGGGGTGTGTGGCCATACTTAAGAAAAGGTTTCCCTGTTGCAGGTCGCCTACAGAGCCCAGCAAGGCAACACCAAGCAAGCGGTGCTGAAGATGGTGATGGTGTGGTTTTTTTTCCCGCCCCTGCCATTATCAGCTGGGAGTATATATCAGGCCAGAGTATCATACCCACCGGGGAGTGCTACGCTGAATTTTTCTACAACTGGTATTTTCTCATGACAGCCTCTACGCTGGAGTTTTTCACCCCTTTCATCAGTGTAATGTTTTTCAACCTGAGCATTTACCTGAACATACAGAAGCGTACCAAAATACGCCTGGATGTTTTCCACGAAGTGCACAACCAGTCCTTGACTGAAGAGATGGAAATGAGCCCAGAAGCAAAGCTTTCTTTGAAATGCTGTAAGTGGGAGCAGAAGGAGCCAGCTGAAACCCTCGACCTCTCTAACAGCAAAGCTCAAGCAGCAGCCTCCGCTGCCAGCCTGGGTGCCAAAGACCTGCTGTCAACAAGCTCCGAGAGCTCCGGGAAACCGAGGTGTTGCAACAAAAAGAGCTGCAGAAATTCAGCATCCACTCTGTCCTTAGAGAAGCGGATGAAGATAGTGTCCCAGAGCGTGACTCAACGCTTCAGGCTCTCTAGAGACAAGAAAGTGGCCAAATCGCTGGCAATCATCGTGGGCATTTTTGGGATTTGCTGGGCACCGTACACTCTGCTGATGATCATCCGCGCTGGCTGCCACGGCCACTGCATCTCTGACTACTGGTACGAGACTTCCTTTTGGCTCCTGTGGATCAACTCGGCCATCAACCCTGTCCTCTACCCTCTCTGCCACTACAGCTTCAGAAGAGCTTTCATTAAACTCCTCTGCCCCAAGAAGCTGAAGATTCAACCTCGCGATCCCCTTCAGAACTGCTGGAAGTGAAGTGTGCGGATGAGAAGAGCCTTGTTTTCATACACCTGTGTTACGGAAAAGTACTGTGGCTTCCTTCCTCGGAAGAACCTGGGAGCCCTGGTCTGGGGCATGTGAGGGAGGCAGCAGCGAGACCACTATTCGTTTATTCTAGCCCATCAACAACAAAACCATGCAGAATAGAAGGGGAAGGGGGTTTCGGCATTCACCACAGGCAGTGAAATCTGTCCCCTCCACTTGAGGTGCCACAAAAGAGCTCTGCTGCCACCTAGACAGCCAGAGCGGCACCAGCGTTCTGTTAAAATAAAAAGCTAACAAAAATAAATGTCTAACCTAAAACCACCGGACCAAACTACAGTTTACCTGATTGCAGACCTGATTTTCCCCATGAATGGGAGGGTTTTTCCCTTACGCTTCAGATATTACACGTGTGTGACGATACAGAAAGAAAAGAACGAACCTCGGAAGGAAAACACCTCATTGATCATTACTGCTACAGCCAGAATCCAGATTCCCGCTGCACGTGGTGCAAGAGGTGGCCCTTCCCCTCCCCAAGAAGGGACAGATCTCTGCCCTAAGGAGTCTACAGCCAGACTCGGAGGTGCTGAGCATCCTGAAGCACCCCCTTGGCATTCCCTGATCCTTGCTTCAAAGCTGATCCGGTTGCCTTTGCATCCAGCCACGGGCTGACCAATGCTCCTGCCCGGAGCTCAATCCCTGGCCCTGAAGGACGTGGGAGCCCGGGCAGACCCAAAGACGACCCAAAGACATTTTTAAAATCTTTTCTGCAGGATCTTAAAAATACTCTTTTGGCAATATGCTAGTGAATGACAAGCACTGGGAGCAGCAAAGCTTGTGTTCCATTTTTTAAGTTAGTTTCAGACCTCTCTAATTTTAGAACGTTCCAGAACTCTTGTGTGCTTCCTTTTAAAATACATAATTTGAATGGAGACCTGGGTCGAGCTGAGCCAGGCAACATAAGCATCAGTTTATTTATTTATTTATTAAGCAGTCACCTAATTCCACAGGTAGAGCACCAGATCAAGAGACTAGGGCTCTATCCTCAATCTTAACGTGAGATCTTGAGCGTTTTATCTCTGCTTCCCATCCTGTACTTCATCATACTTGCCCATTTAGTCTGTAACCTCTTTGGGAACAGAGGCAGTATGACCATAAAGCGAAACACTTCAACTCCCCATCTCTGTTGGCGCTGCTCAGTGATACAGTAATACAAACACGTAAGGAGTTGCCATGGCAAACGCTCATATTTAACAGTATCGTACAGGGAAGCTCAAGATCATTGTCCTGGTTTCAGCTGGGATAGAGTTGATTTTTTCTTCCTAGTAGCTGGTGTAGTGCTGTGTTTTGGATTTAGCATGAGAGTGATGTTGATGGCAACAACTAAAACATCAGTGTGTTAAGTAGTGCTGTCCTGGTGAGCAAGTGATACACGATACAATTCACCACCCGCTGACCGATGCCCAGCCCGTCCCTGAGCAGCGATTGCTGCCCCCGGCCAACTCCCCCCATTTTCTATACTGGGCATGACGTCATACGGTATGGAATAGCCCTTGGGCCAGTCTGGGTCAGCTGTCCTGGCCGTGTCCCCTCCCAGCTCCTTGTGCACCGGGCAGAGCAGGGGAAGCTGAAAAGTCCTTGACTGGTGTAAGCACCACTTAGCAACAACTAAAACATCAGTGCGTTATCAACACACTCTCATGCTAAATCCAAAACACAGCACTACACCAGCTACTAGGAAGAAAGAATCAACTCTATCCCAGCTGAAACCAGGACAATCATAAGTCTGAAAACTACATTTACAAATAGAAACCCAAATGCTGTGAGTAGTACCCAAAAGCTTATGATGTTGTGATTGCCAGTTACACTTAGCTGTTGTAAGCAAACTGCATTTTGGCTGCTGCTAGGAATAAAAGAAAATGCTATCCAACTTTATTCCAGTGACATTTGTTGAGCAGATCAGTATTGTCATCTGAAGTCAGGTTTTAAATGATGTCTCGTTTTGTGTATATGATATCTCAGTCTTGTGACATGTTCAGTCAGACCATTATATATGGGTTAAAATATATCCTTCGAAGTGTGTGTACTGAGAATTGACAGTATGTACTCTTGAGCCTGCTTGTACCTTTCCTCGTGTCTGCTACCTTCTGAAAACCCCAATAAAGTATTTTTATATGAAGTTTGCCAGATATTTTATGGTAAGCGGTGTTACTGGAAATGATAAAATCCAACTGAAAGTGAAACATCTATGGATTTGTCTGAGGAGACAACTAAAGCATATACATTTTGCAAAAAATTAGCTCCTGAAACAGCTGAGTTTCTCTCACCTCTGATTAACAGGTTCCTGACAGCACACCGAGGGTGTGGTGAGAGCACATCACTTCATCCTTTCCAACTCGGGTTCTTTTCCAGAGCATGTTACACGCAACTTAGATTGGAAAAGTGTACGTTAACGTTACTCTTCCCGTGACTTACAGAATCCACTGGCCGGCCTAAAAATGACAAAGTCATAATGTGAACAAAGTACCAGTTTCCAGCTTCATTTGTTCAGAAAGAGAGGTAGGACTACTCGATTGTTCAGTCTGATAAAAAGAAAAGCTACTGACTTCATCACTCCTTAAGGAAAGGGTGGAGAAATGGTTGTGCCTGTCTGTTGGTTTTTGGTTTTTGTTTTTTTTTTGTTTTGTTTTGTTTTTTTAACCTGGTATTAAATAGCGGTTACCTGCTTCATGTTCTCATCCTCCAGAAAAAGGATTTTGTTTTCCTCTTTTAAAGGTCATCCTGCATGATCTTCACTGGATCAGTGGAAGGTCTTTGAAATACATTAGAGGCCAAGTAACTGTTAAAATGATACTAAATTGGTTGCAAAAGAGAAATAGGCCCCATTTCATGTGATCTTCCATCCAAGAGCCAGCTTTCTCCAGGAAGGTTTTATCAGCTTCTGAAGTCATGCCCACAACACTTGCTCCTGTGCCATTCTGCCCGCACGTGGCACACGAGGCCATTTCTTGTACCTGCCGAACACGCGTCCCTCTGGTCCCCTGCCTTCTGCTCACCGGTCCTCAGCGTGCTTGCAAATGAATGTTGATTGCATGCCATCTCCTGCCACCAAAACGAGTACGATGCTACAGGTAGCTACTGAAAAGCCAAAACAGATACCAGTTATTTAACAAAACTGTGTAAGGTTACAGCATAACGCACCTTGCTGGGTTCCTTCCCTTCTCCTGGCGCCTGGCTGGGTTCCTGCCCTTCGCCCTGTGGGGGGGGGGGGGGTGGTGTGTGTTTTTTCATAGAAATACCCCCAAACATAACTGAAAGCCCAGGAATCTCATTGTCACAGACACTTCTACCTTTTTAAGAGAGAAGAAATTTAACAGAAAAGATGAAAGTTCATCTAAACAAACTCTCGCAGCTTTCTGTGGTTAACAGCTGAATCTCTGACAAACTAGACCTGAGAATACCTTCCGTACTACCGTTCTGTTACGTCTGACTAAACAAATGAACAAAGAATTTACCGGTCTTTCCTATACGAGGCATTTCCCTGAGCAGGGACTGGTAATTGGGCGGTCTAGTAGAATAAACCAGAAAGATGACAGAGGGGGTTGGTTTTGTTTTTCTTATTTCCTCCACTTTCCAATACACGTCAAGAATGTTAAAACATTATTATGCAAGAAGACCAGAGATAAGCAACAGGGAGCAGAGCTGAGTTATTTTAGCAGGCTTTTTTTTCCCCATTTCTCTATATTTCCCCTTCTTAGAGCTTGAATTCATTGAATCAAATAAAAAAATAAAAACAACACATTAACACTCCTAGCTCCAGAACTGGTTTTCCTGCGCATGATGAGCTGAGCAAGCAGCCATTTAAAAAGGGAGTTGCAACTGTTTAAATTCTGAACATGACTTTTTTCCAGATAGTCTGAGCCTCTGATCTCAAATTCTTAGCTTATGATTTAGTAGTTACTTACTGAAGGCAAACAGCGGGTTTCCCCCTACAACCATTAGTAGTAACTCTATTCAAAAGTGATGAGACCAGCTTTAAATTTCAAGGTGCATTTGCAAGCACGTGGGCTAGGAATTCCCTTCTTTCACACATTCACCCAGTCAAAGAGCTAAAGCTGTAAACAAAATACCCCGTTTTAAGAGACTCATAAAATTCATAATACTGACAGGGAGCTGGTGGAGATTGGCTTTGCTTTCGGTGATCCATAATGCCATGATATACCCGCACTGAAGTGCAGATGCCATGCGTACCAGCACCATGCTTTCTCAGAGTCTCACTGGTGACACCAATATGTTCCTGTATAATTTAAAATCCTAACGGTCCTTTTCTCTGAGCTTTCAGAATGCACTTCTGGTCTTAAAGTCCTTTCCCCACAGAGTAAAGAAACGGACACGTTTCACTGTGAGCCTTTTGCACAGCATTTTTATGGTCTCTGGCCTCCATATGGGCAGAATCACCTAAACTTAGCTGAAAGTCATTTTATTCATTGGTGGCTTTTGCAGGGAAGATATTTATGTTCCTTCCTGAAAGAATAGCTCTTGCCTTGCCAAATAAAAAAAGAAAAATAACTACTGAGGTCACACCTGAGCTTGGTTTTCAGACTGAAAATGTTATAAGCTGGTCTGAAGTTTCAGAGTAGCTGATGACTAATTCAAATGTGCTTAAAAGAGTATTTGAGTTCTGCTGGTTTTTCGTGTTCGGAATATAAACGTCTGTATGCATTTGGAAGAGGCAGGGACTAGGGAGCTTCTAGGCGTAATCAAATATGAACTGTGAAAACACATTACCATTAGGCAAGGCAGGGCTTCTTGTCAACTAACTTAGCTAAACACCTACATATATTTTTTGCTACCATACCTGCTAAAATAATGCCCCGTTCCTATTGTCTAGACGTAAACCGAGCAGGCAGGACCTGTTTTCAAAAACGATGTGAGACAACTTGCTGTAATTATGAATATGCATCAAATATTTGTGGGAGCACAGAGGCTTCCAC